CCCCCTCCCCCCCCAGGACTGAGAAACTGAGAGGGCGCCCAGCCGGTCACAGCCCTGCGCCTGCAGGGGGCAGAGCAGTCTGGGATTGCCAGTCCAGGCAGGAAGCTGGGCCTCATCGAGAGGGTCAGGAGGTCACAGCCGAAGGCCTGGCCCAGAGGAGTGTGGGCTGTCCTCCTCCTCTCTCCCTCTCGCCTTTCTCTTCTTTCAATAATAAAGTGTCTTTTCTGTGGCGAAGATGAGGGTCCCGCGGGCGAAGACCCGGTTAACCGCGCTGCCCCTCTCCCTTCTCCCCCGCGGCAGACTGCCTGGACATCCGCGCGGCCCGCGTGCTCCTGGACAGCGACCACTACGCCATGGAGAAGCTGAAGAAGCGCGTGCTGGAGTACCTGGCCGTGCGGCAGCTCAAGAACAACCTGAAGGGCCCCATCCTGTGCTTCGTGGGGCCGCCCGGCGTGGGCAAGACCAGCGTGGGCCGCTCCATCGCCAAGACGCTGGGCCGCGAGTTCCACCGCATCGCGCTGGGCGGCGTGTGCGACCAGTCCGACATCCGCGGGCACAGGTCAGCGGGCACCGGCCGCGGAGCCTCGCGCACGGCCTTCGCCCTCTTTTGTGCCAGTGCCCAGCGACAGGCCTGGTATCGGCAGAGCAGGTTTTTCTGGGTGCTGTCGGGGTCCCGGACTTTTAAAATGTGCGCGTGGGCGGCTCGATGGAGCTCAGGTGTTCAGATACCCCCCCAAAGTTTTCATCAGGTTGTTTTTGGGTTGACGGTGCTCTCGGCCCTGAAACCTTTTATAAGATGACTTTATTGGCCATATACAATTTCTTGTATTAGGAATTTGTCTTTACACAGACCCCAACCTGCTCTCCATGAGACACACAGATAGAGAGAGAAGCTGGGGGTCAGAGGGTCAGGGTCAGCCATTTATACGGCACCTCTGGAGCAGTTGGGGTTAAGGGCCTTGCTCAGGAGCCCAACGGAGTAGGATAATAATAATAATAAACTTTATTTTATATAGCACCTTTAAAGGTGGCTTCTCAAAGTGCTTTACAGGATGACAGCAACAATAAATAAGGAGAATACACAAGATAAAACACAATTACAATATACAGAGGAGACCATGGATGGTGGTACTAAGAAGAGCAGAGGGGTGAAGA